AAAGGGTTCTAGAGTCTTCCGGAAACCTCTCCACAACTCTAGACCCTTCCGCCCCTATCCGGACGTAAAATTCTACTGCGAAGTGGCGGGACGTGACACTCTCCCCCACCTATTAATGCGACGACCGCGTCGCATTGCTGCTACGTCGTCATCCGAGCCTTGGGCATGCGCGACCAATAGTCCATTGACTCGATTAAGGCCCTTGCGCAACGCTTTCATCGCCTTCCATATCGCTTCTAGCTCGGACTTATGACCGTCCTCCTTCTTAGGAGGCAAGCGCCTCGACGGCTTCTTTGGCACCATGGTATTGTTCCTTTTTGGAACCTTCTTCGAGCGTGGCGGCAGGGACCCTTTCGCCCCATTGTCTTTCTTCGAACTTGCAATGGTGGTCGTATGCGTCGACTCTTTTTTCTTAGGGTTTTTCTCGAGCTGCATAGCCGTTAGACGTACTTGTCCTTCCGTCTTCGGTACCTTAACCATGGGCACCATACATGATCTTCCTTGCTCCATGACTAGAAGTCGTTGGAGGTAAGGGTCGATCATCGCGTGGCACTGCTGGAAGAACTCTCCATGTGCAACTCCTTTCACAGGAGTCGGGGGTGCATTGACCGTCCTGAGTTGGGCGCTGCTTGGACTGTAACTCAGCCCCAACCTCGTTGCTGCCTTCTTGGTCATGAGATTGACCTCTGCACCCGTGTCGACCAAAGCACAAGCGGGCTTTCCATTGATCTTAAGGTCGACATATTGTACGCCGTATCCTCTTGGCTTCTCTGGCTGCTTAGTGATTGCTCCGCATAGCCCTATCAAGCCCAACTGCGTCGTCCCTTCGCCTTGTTCTTGCTCCTGGGCGCCTTTCTCCTTCCGCTCTCGCAGGATGGCACCAAGGCTCTTCAGTTCAGGGCACTTTGCATAGCCATGCGGTCCGCCGCATATGTAGCAACCACCTTTGTTGGCAACCTCTATCTTCCTCTCCGTGTTGCCATGACGTCCAGACTTCTTGCCATCGGACTTGTAGGTGTCATGCTTCTTGGGATGTGGCCGCTGCTCCTCGCCTTCGACACGATCTCCCCCACCATGGTCATGACTACCTCTCATCTCTTCTCCTCTGGTTCTGTCGGGCTTCTCCTGCCTGAAGTCTGTCAAAGCTTCGGCCTGCGTGATGGCTTCGTCTATGGTCCTGACTTGCCGACGTTCCAACTCCGTTCTGGCCCAATTTTGCAGCCCATCCATGAAGTGGAACAACATATCATCATCCGTGAGGTTAGGAATTTGAAGTGTGAGGGTAGTGAACTCCTGCACATATGCGCGGATGCTGCCCGTTTGCTTCAGCTCCCTAAATTTGCGCTTTGCCTCATAGATGACGTTATTAGGGAAGAAGGCTTTCTTGAACTCCACCCGGAAT